GATTTAGTGTACTTTTTGTCTTTGTGCATATAGGCTGTGCTCATCAAGAAGTAGAACTTCAGCTCCCTCTCTGAATGAAATCATGTAGACCTCAGCTTTTGCCTTTACTTACGATAATCATGCTGTTTCTTACTGCTTGCATTTCATTAATATTAAAAATGTTTCCTTTGGGGTTTTTGTAATTTGTACGCATGTCCCAAACCAGAGTGAAAGTGAGATAAGAAGTGCAACTTGCATGAAGCCAGTTGACTTCTTTATTGGACGTGGTGCCGCTTTATTCAGACTTTTCGTAATTACTCTTACATCATTGAATTAGCTACTCCATAAAATGCTATTCTTTTCACAAGTTAATTCATTGTGACTAAATAAGATTATCGCAATATAGCTACGCAGGCAGGTGTTAAAAATGTCAACTCTAGGACGGCATTCGTCCTAGGCAGTATTCAATCACGATTTCAAATTAAAAGAAATTAAAGTTTAATTGATAGCTTTCCCACCTGTAAGTCAAATCTGCAAAAACTGGGCTTTTTTCCGTGCCTGTGTTCTGCTAATTTTTTATGTTCTATGGAAAAATTTACATGATTGGCTTAGAAAGTCGCCTACCTTTTTTTGCAGCAATTCAATCTTCTCGTTTTCTTAAATTTCGCCGTTTCCCTATAGTTTCTGTCTGTTTACACATTTGAAATATTTTCATAGGAATCACATTCATTTTTGACTCTAAACAGCTTAAATTTTCTTCATCTATCTTCGGCTGTTCCAGAACAGCTGTCACCTTAATGCTAAGGAGGAAGCACGAATATGCATTCACGTTTCTTTCATTTTTCTTGGACGGTCGAATGATTAATGATATGTCATAGCGTCACTTCAGAAATGTGTTCATCAATTTCTTTTTCCTTCTATCATGCCATGGTAAGAAATTAAGTAGGGAGTTTCTTTTTCCATTGGAGATTTTCTCTTCTTGGAAACAATACCGATTTGAGCGATAAATCCTAGGAAATAACATCTTTATAGATTATTCTAAATACTATTACCTATCTAAATCTTTTCCTTGTAGCAACTGGTTATTATGCTAGGTATAGCTAATGGAGCTGAAGACCGCAACGAAA